CATGCTAACTCTGACCCAGCTTGTGGCGTAGTCGCTCGTACTCTTGTAGTCTACAACAAAATATAATGTATCATAGCATGTCCGAGTTGTGTTTCAAACATCACTTTACTAACTGTTTGTCAAACATATGTACGAGTTACGTGCGAAATGTGGCATGATATAATCTTATATACACAAGAACAGATTCAAAAGAACATAAATGATATTCTAACTCGGACTACTTTTATTGTGAACTCGTATACAGCCTAACCGTTTATATTGTAATTCACTAGGATCAATGCGACCTGTGTTTTCTGGCCTAATCATTGACGTGTTTAAGAGGAAATTTCTACTTACTAAGTATATCAGGAAACGCCACACGATTGAAACGATTAGGTAAGAAACCAAAACCGTGGAGTCGCAATAATGTCACGGTCACCAACAACATCACACGATGAGGGATCCTATTTATAGTTTCTGTGATAGCCTACTTCCCTCTTAGCATTGACCACACAAGCGTTATTTATTGACAAAGTTACCTATGAGAATTGACCAGCCGCCTTAGTTGACCAAATTAAACATTGACATTGATGGCGCCCTAAGTTGACCCTTACGTGCGTCAGATTTAACCTTGCCACCATCATTCAGACAGCAATACAATTTGTTTACCTACTTTCCTCTGGATCTCGCCATTTGTTTCATCACTTACCTGAGAGCATTGACCTTGATGAAGCCTTTAGCATCTACTGGATCATAGTTGCCTTGGACGTTCATACTGAAATATCGTAAACATTTGAAATAATGTATTCTCAACGTACATATTAAGACAAAAAATATGAACCTAACTGTCTAAGGATAAGGAGATTTTCCATGAAGTTACACAGTCATCATATTTGATATAGATTTTATAAGCTCAATTTCAAAGTACCTGTCGTCCGTCCTTTTCCCCTGCGACTCTACTCTTTAAGAATGACAGAATAGATGGTAACTAAACTGGGTGTAGTGCATTCCTTGACTTGGGGGTATTTTCCATCAGCGTGTCTAACCTAACCTTTTGTGAAACATCCAGGCCTGGGAGTTCACTGTCATGTAGATACAGGAAGTGCTCCCCTGAGACAAAGGTGGGCACAATAAGGAACGTAAGGTACTAGTAAGTCTAAATATTTGGGGAAAAAAGCTACTCATCAAATATCAATTGACAATTTGCCATGACACATCCATTGGCCAAGAGGAATTAATGTTTTATGCATGGAGCAAATGAGCTCCTGGAAAAGGACGTCAATCTTCAAAATAATACTAAATAAAGCGTTTTTTAAATTCAATTCAAATTATCAAACCTAACTTGGCTCGACACAATCCTGGGCTACACGTTTTATGGTTTAACAAGGAAAAACGTGTCTCCCTGGAGTCAGTTGAGTATAATCTGGGAAGAGAAATCAGGGCAAACCTTAAGAAAACTACTCCGTAAATACGGTTTGACATTTTCCAGCTGAATTTGGTGTAAATTATTCCTTTACCATATGGGAGTTAATTACATATTTAGAACAGAAGGGTGGAACGCAAATGGGGAATTGTGGGAAAGCCATTTTCCACTTCTCAAATGTAATCAGGCCAATTTCAACCACATTTTGTATCGAATTGGTGAGAACCTCTTCCTGTGTTCATATATCCAATAAAAACAGTTACGCTGTACAAACTTAATGAAACCTGTTTGATTGGCTCGATAGTATACTATCTGAATAACTAATCAAATACAAAACTACCGTAACATAGGTTTTGCAGTTACCTGACGAGCTCTTCGTTATATAGACTGAGTGGAGAGTGTCTCGCTATGACGTAGACGGACCCCTTATAGACCTTCACGCGCACCGTCCCCTCTACGTGCTCCTGGCTCTTATTGATACAGTAGCGGGTAAACTCGCACTCCGGACTGAACCAAAACCCTAGAAAACAGAAAACAACAAACAGAAATAAAAATGTACAGGATAACGCCACGAAGGACAGATCAAACATCAAAGGATATTGACCAAAGCCTTGGATATAGACAACTATGGAAAACGATGTTCATGGATCTAAAGTTTGGATAATAAAATCGAAAAGCATACAAAAGACACTGGAAGTACACAAACCCAAACCCTTAACAAAGCTCTAGAAAACAGAAATGGGAATCGAAGTACACAAAACAAACCACTGGAGAGAAGAAAACGACGAAAATCATCTGATTTTATGATACAGTTTATGGTCTCAAACCAAAGAAAACAGCAAACAACCGAAATTATCAAAGTGCATGGACCACATCTTAGACAAAACAGAATAGAAAATAGCAGATATCGAAATACACAGAACAAAATATAAAGAATTGGAAACAACGGAAATATGGAATATCAAAGAACATCGGCAAAAGGCATGGGAATAACGTCAAGAAACAGAAACAATATCCATGTAGGACAGAACACGAACGGCAAAGAACAGAAACAAAAGGTGTATCAAAAAGATATTGTATTCCATACATACGTGTATCACGTGTAGTTTTTGTGTGATAGAGTATCGCTCGTATAATGTACAGAAGGTACATACCAATTACACAGAAAATAATTATTCTTTGAAGTATTCCTTTAATATGTATGAAGCACTCGTATATAACGAATGTGGAACAGTCTACAAATTAACTACACGTAGCATAATGATTTACCTCTGTAAACTTGATCAGAAAATTTGACATCGAGTTCTCTTTTGATCCTTCGCACTTCCTGTAATTCCAAGTAGTACTAGTTCAGCAATGTTTTGTATACTGTAGAAATAACTGTACAACTCCTACTAGGTTAACCAAAGGTGTAAATTTAACACATATATACATATTACTGCAATCTTGAACGGGAAGCTCGTGAAAACAATTGCATTTATAAAATTAACTATATATAGGAAGTTACTTTGCCCGTACCACGAATACGATTGTATGCAAAACAATGGACCATTGCTATGCAACCGGCAGGAGTGTGCGTTATCCAATCATATTGTTACGTTGCTTAGGTACTATTATGATCATACAAAATATATTCAAATGAATACTCCCCTGTGTCACTAACATTATCGCAGATACTAAAAGCATAACTGATACCATTGCATTACTAATCCCTGTGCCACTAATACCATATTACCTTATGAAAACACACTATCACTACCGTATTAAAACCCAGTCATGACACCTCTTTTCTGCTTCACTAGACCCACTACGTGCGTACCTTATCCATGGTGAACACTTCCATGTCGATGTGAGCAGTGGCCAAAATAGCGCCTCCTGGAGTCTCGTAGATACCTAGTCACATAGAAACAGTGGACTAAACCGAGACTTTCTTCACGACAAGGACTGTTTTTATTATGCAATTTATCAGCATTTTGAAAATCATTTCAGAGAACCATAAAGAGATCTGACGACAAGCATACGCAGAATTTCTTTCAAACTTCGATTTGTAATATATTTTCGAAAATAATATCAACGCAATAAAAAGCACAGTCATAATCAAAACATGTTTTCACTTACGAATATACGATATTTATTTTATAAAGTCACACTGTCTTTTAAAGTTTTCGGTGTTTTCCTCTTTCTCAGTTCGGAAAGCTACATTTGCATACATGTTATGCCCATCTTGATCGAGTGTATCTGAGAAGTTGTCGAGTTGATCTTACCTCGGGACTTCATGCCAATAAACCTGTTCTCCACTATGTCTATAACTCCCACTCCATGTTTCCCCCTGCAAGGACGTGGAAATCAATAAATCTTATAGATATGTTACTCTGTTCTCGTGCAATTGTTTCAAATCTAAACTCACATATACAATTCTGAAAATGAAAACATAAAAAGACGACACATTACACACACGTCTTAGGTATTTAACTTGAGATTGGAGAAGGTGTTGTACGTTGAGGTATAGGAAGTATACGTTCCCGATTTTGTTAAGGTATATCAAGTATACGTACCCGATTTTGTCAAGGTATAGGAAGTATACGTACCC